GTTTGTCTTACAAGCTCAGAATCAAAACAATTCTGCAATTGCCCGAGCAGTTGACTTGTAAATGGCTGTGAATTAAGAAGATGACTTTTAATCTTACGTTATTCAGTCAAAAAACATATTCCAAATGTTTTGTATTGCATGACAATGCATCTTTTCATTATTCAATAACTAATCGGAGAACCGCTTGTATTCTGAAAATAAGTATGTGTACTCAATCATCCTGCATGTCCTTCAAATTTGTCTTCTTGTGATTTTTTTTTCTTTCCCAAAAACTAAAGTTGTCTCTCAAAGGAAAGTTTTTTGACATTGAAGAGACAAAAGGAGTATGACATTTACTTTTAGAGGCATTTCAAAAACAGATCTCTACAAGCCTTCTCTTCCATTACATGTTGTGCATTCAGACAAAAAGTTGGATCAGCGTAAATTCTATTACACTCTGATTACTTTATTAACATACAGTGAATATATACTAAACCTTTTACTTCAGCTTCAGTAATTCGGAATTTTTGACGGAATTGTTGTCGGAACTAGGACTTAGAAGATAACTCAAATTGAATATTTCCGCTAATCCAATAAATTCAAGGTTGAAGTTTCAATATTTTATTTTTGGAGGAAGGGGAAATTTTTCCAGTTTTGGTCCATTATCCTAAGTACATTTGTTTCGATTCTTTATTTTTTCCATAAAAGCAAAAATCTTACGCATGGTATACATATAACGCATAGCTTCAAATTAAAATTTAATAATATACAGGGTGGTTATAATTAAAGTTCCACATCAAAACAGTCATAAAAGGAAAACTACTGGATCAAATGTTATCAAACTTGGTAACCGTGTAAAGGAGGTCATGGGAATTTATTTGTTAAACGAAATATGGGTCGGAATCTAACTTAACCTTTTGTTACACGGGTTTAATATGTTGTATACCCTTAAGAAACTTTGAAGTAAGCAAATTACCATTTAAAGGCATTAAATTTGATAAAAGTCAAGTGCGCCATCCGTGTAAGTGAGAAATTCGTCCGTGAAAACAACGAATTAACGATTAGAAAATGTGAGATCATAAATCACTCGCACAAGTGCGTACAGTCTGGCAATCGTTTTCTTACAGATCGCTAATTTGTAATTTTTGAAGCCTGAATTTGGCCCTAAAACATGAAGATACTGATTCAAAATGCTTCTAATCAATTTGGGCCAAAGAAATCCTTTATGTTATCTACCTAGTTCCATTGCATTCTCCTACTGCATTCAATTGCATAGCAGTCATTCCACACCGTTTGCTGTGGAATAACAGCTAGTTTCATAACCATTTTTCTCTGAATAGCAGTCGACAGCTGGACTACTGTGATTGCAGCTCGCTTAGAGTCAATGCTAAAATGTTCCGTGATACACGAACTGCAGTAATGTGGCATTTTAGATACTACGATTTTTATGCAGGGCTGGGCCCCACCTCACATGTGTTGCACAGTTACTTAGGCAACATTTCACGAATGAACGTCTTATAGGCCGACATTTCCCCTCTTTCCACCAGACCTCAATCTCTGTGACTTTTAGCTATGGGGTTATCTCAAAAGCACTGTTTATGGTGATAATCTAAGTTTGGCAGAAATGAAAAATCTTATACGCCGACATGTCCGTAACATTCCTCGTGATATGCTAAGAACTGCTGTTGCGAATGCAGTAAGATTTAACTTGCTTTCGGAAAATACTGGACGCTACATTGAACATGCTTTGTAACATGTTTCGGCGACGATTAAACACATTTTAAACCAATGTTTTCATGTCTTATTTCATTTAACAATATTGCATACAATGCCATTTTTCCCCTGGTGGTGAGTTTGTGAACTCTCCCCCCCCCCCCGCGCAGAAAATAAATTCCCATAACCTCCTTTACACGATTCCGAAGTTTGATAACATTTGGTCCGGTAGTTTTCCTTTTATGACCATTTCAAAGTGGAACTTTAATTATAACCACTATGTAAATTAAACTTTAAAAGTTTGACAGTTTGGTTCAAGTCCCAGCTTTAAAAATATATATATAAATATAAATTTTTATATCAATCCTCTTAGAAAAAATGTTTTAAGAAGCTCATTTTTCTCCCGCGTTATAGATTGTATAAAAAAACATGATCTTTAATATGATTTAGATTGTTTCAGCCGATATAAGAATCGGGTTACTCAGTGGTACAGAATAAACACTGCTGGACTGTTTCATTTCTTTGTCATTTAGCAAAAAATCTTTTAATTATTTTTATCCTTTTAATTATATTTATCCTTTGGAGTTCACTTTAAACTTTATTTATAGTTAAAATGACTAGAAAATGAAAAGCTGCCTTCAGCTGAAATGCAATTCATGTAATTGATATTTTAAAAAAAATGACAAGAATGCAAAATTTATGGAAGTCTAGCAATCGAAAAATCTTAATTTTCTTGTGCGAGCACTGAAAATAACTGTAGAGGGAAAGAAGAAAATTAGGGATAAAAGTAAGCAAAAATTTGAAAAAGAAAAAGAGCAAGAATGAAGCAAAATGCCTGAAGAAAAAGAGAAGAAAAAATAAATTTTTGCGTAAAACTTAGTATTTATACTTTATTTTAATTTAAAACTTTTTAATCTTATGATATTTGATTCTTGAGATTTCAAAAATAAAATATTTGACTAAAATATGAATAACATTTTAAGAAACCAAATGTAGGATAAAATTGTGTAAAGCAATGGGCACACTGATAAAACTGTTTAAAGCAGTGTAATGCAAGTCGTCCTGAGTTAAAATGTCGGTTATACAGCTCTCTTATTTATATATATCTTTTCTGAACGGAACATTGAAAGGCGTGTTAAGAGTGCTTTACTGTATTTTCTCTTTTAATATATGCAGTTTTCAAGTGCATCATAGTCTGAGTTACAAAGTATTCTTCCGAAAGAAACGCAATTCAAATAAATAAAATCAAATTCTGGAAAATTTATATTGATAAATATATTTAAAATGCTCAGTTCGAATGAATAAATAGAAAATTTTAAAATTATTATCTGAAGAGACAATGCAACAGTAACAACTAAAATAAAAGTCTAAAAATCTAAAAATTTAAAAATTACCTAAAATAGTAACTATGACTAAAAATATAGTATGAAGAAAATTATTTGAAAAAAAAATAAACGATACACCTTTGATTTAAACTACGCAGTTCGAATGAGTACATAGAAATTTTTAAAACAGTTATTCGAAAGAAACTATGCAACGTAAACAATTAAAATGAAATTTGAAAAAGAAAAAAAATTGCTTAAAATTAATAACAATTATAATTAAAAATATAAGATAAAGAACATTATTTGAAAGAAGGAATTTTGGCGCAAGCTGAATAAAGAGCGGCAACATAAATTGTTGAATTTTTCCGTAAATTTCGCACCAAATTTTACAAAATTTAATATTTAGGCATAATTTGAGTCGTAGAATCGAAATATGTAAAAAAATTGGTATGTTATTTCAGAAAAAGTCCGATTTTGTGTCAAAAAAACCTATGTTTGAATAGTGCTATATATAAATCTAATATATATCCTAAGTCGCACTTTCGAGACATGAAGAACACAATTTGAATTTCGTGAATCGGCCCAGTAAAGCGGGAGATATAGAACTGTCTTTTTTTTTTTTTTTTGAGCAGTGTACATCTTTAAAAAACTGTGTGATCCTGTAGATTTATATGTTACCATAATGCTGAAACCATACAGTTGACAAAACCTCTCAGAAAGACATTTTCTAGCTAAGACAATAGTCCATTTAAATATTTTTAATTTATATGTACTTCTTGGCAGTTAAAGTGACTTACAAAATTAATGGCCCCATCAACATTTCATTTCATAACCATCACCACACAGTTATTAATTATTAAAATTACAAATGTAAGAAAAGTTACACAATAGTTTATTAAAAATAATATTGATGAATGAGCTTAAATGAAAAAAAACCCTATATTTATCCTAATTTACCTTTTAATTGACCCTTCAAAGAGGGTGATAAATTTTCTGGTGCAGTAAAATCCTTAAAAACCACAAATATTAAAATTAATTACCTTGGTCAATTTTTGTGATGGAAGTCAAACTTTTCATATTTTATGTTTTATGATGAATATAACATTTTCTTAAATGCGGGTACATTAGGAATATATTAATTGGTAATCATAATTTTTACAAAATTGGCTTTTTAAATTTTTAAATGTCAAAGCATCATATACATAACTTAGAACAATTTTGTAACTGGATGCATACATGTTTACAAACAACAGCATAAAAAATAAAAGCCAGATAATAAGTTCTGTGAACACAAGCATCTATAATTTTTCCCTTTCAAACTTGAATAACCCAAAACACCTTGATTTTGAGAAGTGTCAACAGAAACTAAAATATTCAGAAATGAACAGTAAAAAAATTATAAGCTACTGAAAATTACAATTCCAAAAAATTAAATAATATATAAAAAAAAATAAAAGATTTTGATGCCTGCCTCAAAGTACCTCTCCAAAGTAGATTCCCTCTAGAGTATAATATAAATTTAATGATTGAATTTCAGCAACTGCACATGAATTTAAGAACACTAATTAGATTCGGATAAGTAAGGGTAATAAAAAGGTTTTGTATAAAATGCAAACAATGCAACAAATATGCATTATTAAATTAAATACACAAAAGCAGAAATTAGATTTATATTTCCAAATATGAAAAAAGATTCCATACCGTATTTCCACTAAAGATATATTTCTTTTCTAGAGATCATTTTTTCAGATGATAAAAAATTTGGTTTATACAGCATTTTGCTTTATAAACAAGTATATTCATCTCTAGAACAAATAATCGCAATACAAAACTACTGAAAGAAATTTAACTACATGTAAACACACAATGATCCATGTTTACAACAGCAGCCAATTTTAAGGCTCAAATTTCTAGATAAAAAAATTTCTTGTAAAAATTAAATACACATTTAGTCATTCTTACAGAGCATAATAAATGGATTACCTTTAACAATGCATTTGATATGTACATGACACCCAACTGGAATCCACATTCTTGTTCCAGGAGGTAGCAAAAATGTAAATAGGTATGTATCATGGGTAACAGGAGTTCTGTTAATCAGTTTGCACGACCAGTAAATAACTAAAACAGTCAGAATAAATAATAAAAAGCCATTATATATAATATGATGTTAGCTACAACAGAAATATGGCATATATACTCATTTATTGTCCATATGTACACGCACACATACAATGTTAGTTAGAAGAGAAATACACTATACATACATTCATTTTTTGTATCAACTGCATAACAAGGTGTGCATTTCCAAAGTGATGGGTCTGTAAAACATAATTTCTTCGAGGTCGTTGAAAGCAAAAGTTCTAAAAATCTCTCTTCCTCTAAAATTTTTACTAAAAATAAATCAAATATAGCTCTTCAAAAAAAATTCAGAAAATATATAAAATTCATAGTAAGCATAATTAAGTTAAATCTTTGGTTTTTATTAGATACTACAGAAAAATTTGCATTTATAATGTGATACTTTACTTACTAATACCTATAGTAGTTAAAACTAAGAAGACTGCAAAGCTATTATTTGCATCGGAAAATGTGGGGATTGAACACATTAGTGCCTTGGTGCAGTCAGATATTTTTACGGCAGAAAAGAAAATGATTTTTATATTAAAGTATGTTAAAAAAAAAGAAAAGAAATAATAATATATAATTTAGTTAGTAAGTTCTAGCAACAGGTGAGTGTTGCCATTAGAAGATAGTGTTTCGCGATGCTCTTGTTCCAAAGATGTATTTCTACTTTACTTAGCAATTCCAATAAAAATTTCCCATTTTTTGTTCTGCTATTTGTTTTTTGTGTTAGTTCTAGAAACATGTTTCTAGGTTACGGGTCAAGGAAGGTCCCACACTGCCTTGCTTTAAACTGATAAGAGTAGAATGAAACTTGCTAAGTCTAATTTAATAGGTGTTCCATTTTCATAAAAATGAAAGGACGGAATTATCCAAGGTTGAAATAAAACCTTTAGTAGATGAAAGTGAGTGGCATATACGGAAATACAGGATAAAATTTATTTTAAACTATCATCCTGGTGCTTTAGCGATTGTGGTAGGAACTCGAGTGAAAGCAGAAAAATCTTCAAGTAGATGTTTCGGTTTACTCAACAAGAAAAAGATAATGAAGCTGTTAAGAAGTTTCAAAATGCATATGTGCTACGATGGTATTAACGAATTCTATGATAGAAGAAATGCTTGAAAAAGTTACAAGATTTCAGACTGCTAGAGAAATGCAGTTGGAAGTACATTAAGCTATTTGAAGCATCGTCAGAAAATCAACTATACAACATATGCATGCAAGTTTTCCAAGAAGAATAAGCATCATATCATGGCAGCTCATCTTTCCAAATTAAAAAAATTATGGAATGAATTAAATTCAGGATTTGATAAGAAATAATCAAAATTAACCAACATACTACTCAGTTGCAAAATTTAAGATGTCTCACCCAATTAATACCATTCATTTAAATCATATTCGTTACTTTTGTGTGAAGACAAGCGAATGGTTGATGAGTTAACAGCATAGCTTTGCTTTCATGAATGAGAATTTAAACGTCATGAGAAAGGCAATACAAGTGAACAAGTGGCATTAGCAATGTCAAAATCTAAAAAGCAATAAAAAAAGGCAAATTAAGAAAAGCAAGAAAAGAAAATATCTGCAATTATTGCAAGCAGAAGAGACACTGGATAAAAGAGTGCAAACAGTAGACTGCTGATGGAAGACCACCCAAGACTAGTTCAACAAAAGCCATTAAAAAAATACAAGCAATGTGACACTGATGTCCATTCATGAAGAAGCCAGTACAGCTGAGATTGATCCAACATCATTTTGGATTTATAGTGGAGCTATAATGTCATGAACTGTTCCACATATTTTATTGATTTCGTGAATTTCATAGTCCCTGTAACATCAGTGCTGCTAGAAATTCCTCTTGGGAAAGACACAATCTCTGTCAAAACAACTATCGGTAAAAAATCCAAAGAATCTAACTAAAAGATGTTTAGTATGTATCTGAGATAAACAGAAATTTATTTTCTTTACTTGCTGCTTAAGACATAAATCAAAACAGTAAATTTAACACAAGAGCTACAGAATGCTTGCTGAAAGTTAATAGTCAAGTAGCACTGTTTGGAATCAGCAGTGTTACTTTATGCAAGACAGATATGGAACCAGTTATCCCTGATAAAATTATAGAAGTGCATGCAACTTAAGCAGACAAATCCTTGTTGCAGTTATATCACCAAAGATAAGTATATCAAGATAAACATCATATTAAAAGCATGCTTGAGAAAGAATTAAAGTGCCATTTGAAAGAATACTGTATGAACCATATATTTTTGACAAAGCACACCATTTATCATTTGGCACAAGAAAGAAAGCAGCAAGTCTGGTCAATTAATTTCAGCTTACAACTGTAGACCTTTTGATGAATCTTTCCAGAAGAAAAAATACTTAGCTGCATTTAAAGACAGCTATACAAAGTTTTGTTATGGGTATTTTATCAAGGAAAAGCCAGAAGTTTCAAATATGTTTAAGTATATGCTTGAACATGCTAAATCCTTGGAACATTCAGTCTAAGAGTTTCTCAGTGGCAATGAAGGCGAGTTAGACAATGATAAAATGCATGCAATTTTGCATTCAGAAGAATTAACAGCACTTTACATTTCTGAGCAAAAAAAGCTGAGATATGGATTAATAAGAAACCTCAAATAAAACATCTCATGAGAGGATCTGTTTGTCATGCCCATATTTCTAAGCAAAATAAGAAGGAAAATGGATTATAAAGCTACAAATCTCATTTAATTAGGTATAATGGAGATGAAAGATACCACCTATGGATCAAAAACGCCAACAGTATGATCTGTTCATGTGATGCTATATCCAATGAGGAGCTCATAAATTGTCAAGAAATGGTAAAGTTGCCTACTGAAAATCAACACAGATTAATTCCTAGCTCTGAGTATCAAGAAGATTCTGAAAAAGATAAGTTAGAAACGTTTCTCAGTGAAGAAGATAATTCAGAAAAAGAACACAATGAAGAAATATCTGGCAATATATCAGAAGATTTTGAAGAATAAGAATGTGAAGATATTAATTCGCAAAATAATGCACAGTCAAGATCCATAAGAAATAGACTTTAATTGAAAATCCAATGCATTTTGAAGCTTTTATAATGATAAATGAAACTTTTATTCCTGATTCTGATGAGCCTGGTACTTAATTGCTGATTATGAAGAGCTTCCTTATGATGAAGCAATGAACTGTAATCAAAGTGTATGATGGAAAGAAACATTGGATTCTGAGATGACATCACTGATGGAAAATAAAGCATGTATATTAGAAAAATCATCAAAAGTTGCTAAACTTATACCATGCAAATATGTTTATGAGATCAAAAAAAATCCTGATGAATCCATTGATAAATTCAAGGCTAGACTTGTTGCCAGAGGCTTTACTCAACATTTTGGAGTTGATTACAATCAAACATTAAGTCCAGTAATGTTAGGAACTGTTTGTTCAATTCTCTGTACTGCAGCTAGTGAGACAATGCACATTTCTCAGTTTGATGTATGTTCAGCATATAATATGGAACACTTGAAGAATCCATATACATGCAACAGCCAGAAAGGTATAGTGATGGTTCTGACCAAGTCTGTAGGCTGAAACACAGTTTACACGGACTAAAAAAAAGCATCAAGCTGTTGGAATAAATTTTATGGAGATTTATTCCAGCAGTTTGTATTGCAACTTGCCTTCAAGACAAGCAAAACAGATCCATGCTTACATATAACAAAAATGACAAGAAGATAATCATATGTTTATTTGTTGACGATGGTTTGGTAGAATCAACAGATCTCCAAGAATCTAAAACATTTCTCAGAAAACAGAAATTGAGGTTCAGAATTGCAACTAAATCAGCAGTACACTTTCTTGGATTTGAAATTAAGCACCTTGAAGATGGAAGTATCAAAACTTGTCAACAAGCTTATGCAAGAAAAATTCAAAAATTTCGGATTAAGATTGTAGACTAGTGTCAACTCCTATCCAGAAGGAAAGTTTAAGTGAAAAGAAAATGATAAGCCAAACACAGAAATTTTCCCTTTTACAGAAGCTGTAGGAGCTTTAATGTATATTATGTTAGGCATGATACCAGATTTAGTGTACTGTGTCGGCACTTTTTCATGTTACCTTGAAAGTCCTTTGAAGGATGAATGGGTTGAAGTGAAATGTATATTCAGGTACATAGATTCTCTTACTAAATGTGTTTCATGCAAGAATACATATGAACGAGAAATACTGGAGTGCTATAGTGACGCAGATTTCAGAGGATATAAAGAGACAGGAAAATCTACAAGTGGAGTAGTAATATTTAGTGGTGGAGCATCGCGGATTAGCCAGACAGTTGATTGTTGCAACTTCAACAAGTGCAGTAGAGATAATTGTAGCTACTGAATATTCTAGACAAGTAATTTGGTTAAAATGACTAGCGATGTTACCAACTTACATGAAGTTCCAGTAACTCAAGTAGATAACATTGCTGCAATAAGACAGTCACAAAAACTTTGGTTTCAATCACAGACAAAACACATCGATATCAAGCCCTTTTTCATGCAAGAGAAAGTTCTACAAAAGTAAATCATTATGCAGCAAACCAAAGAGAAACAGACTGCTGACATAATGACTAAACCTCTATTTAAACCAAGATTCTTAGTGATAAGATGGGACAGGAAATAGTAATATAAAATTTAATTAAGCTGTGGCAACACTGAGTGTTGTTGTCATTAGTGAGTGTTGATTGCATTTTGGAACGATGTTGTTCCAAAGATGTAGTTCTATTTTAGTTAGTAATTCCAAGTAAAACTTCCTATTTTTTACTCTAACATTTGTTTTCAGTTTTAGTTCTAGAAACACATTTTTATTTCAAAGAAGTTAAGCAATTTTTTACAGAAGACAAACAATTGCAAAAAGAATATTATACGCATATATTAAAATATTTATCCTGAAAATTAATCAATAAAACTATTTACAATTATTGTTTCTCTTGTTCTAGTGAAACACAAAATAATTATAGGAAAATGATTGCACTGCTTGTTCAAACTGAATTGTTACATGCATGGTTACCAGAATTTGGAACATTTTCAGCGATGAAGAGAGGAGTGCTCCAAAATGCATCATTAAAGAATTTCAAGATGCTTTTTCCCACTCATTTTCTGATGGAGGTGGAACAAGTTTGGTTCAGTAAAGAAATGATACAGGAATTTATCTGCCAGTCAAGCAACATCCAAGACATATACCAACTGCTAAACAGGAAGGAAAACTTCTAAAGCACATGCAACAAAGCGA